TTTATTTCTCGTAAACAAAACAAACAAAAAAAAAAAAAAAAAAAAAAAAAAAAACTGACAGCGTCGTGCCTCGGCCGTCTCGGCGCGCTGCCGTGGCGTCGCGCTGTCGTGGTGTCGACGTCCAGCCGTGGCGGCGTGACGGCGCTGTCGTGCTGCCGTCGCAGCATCGATGTCACGCTGTGGCAGCGACGCCGCACTGTGGCGGCGTCGTAACGCTGCGGTGGCGGCGCCGTCGGGCGGCAGCCGGCCACGCAACGCCTGTGGCGCCGCGAGACCTGCCGCCAGGGTCCTCCCTAGGCTTTTTCCACTTTCTGATGATCAGACGGGCCCTTCGGGCCTTTCCGATCATCAGATGCGCTGATTTTCTTTTCCTGATTTCCCAGACGAAATGAATATCGATTTCTGAAAATTCAGATAAAACCTTGTATAATTTCTAATTGTCACAGTCCAGTTTAGTTGCGGTAACGTAACGTGCGACAGGGGGAAACAAAAAGTTCCGAGTTGAATTTGTGAATGCCACATGGTCATTAGGCGGATGGGACGCGTTAGACCGAAACGCATGGACTCAGATTTTGATTGGCGAGATAAATACGAATTTGCTCGTGCTGGGCGACATCAGGACACGTGCGGGAGGAGGCTGGGGAAGAATCGAGAGATTTCAGGGGCGGGAAAACTGAGATTGCAGGGGCGGGGGGAATCGAGCTGGGGGGGGGGGGAGATTCGACAAACAGTAGCAGGGGCGGGGAAGGGGGATTCTGCCAGAGCTTACCTTAGGGTTTTTGTCCACACGGCAGATCCGGGTATATCTCTCGCGGGGCCCGGACAAAATGGGTTTATCTTGAACGTTACCCGTCAATGTCCGGGTTCAGTCCCGGGATTTTCTCCCTGATGACAAACGCTCTCACGAAAAGTTCCTGGATTCTACAAAGGGAACCACGTAAGAGTACTGCGCTCAGCTCTTATACTTCTACTTCTTGAACTTCCTTGCTAGGGCTGAGTGGGGTGCCACCCCACCCCACTCCCCCTTCCTTGCGAGTGCCCTAGGGGGAGGGAATGGCGGGGGGATCTGTGGGGTGGTGTGAGAAGTTTTAGTATCAGTGCTTCTCAAAACCGAACACGTCACTTCTCGTGTTCTGGTCAAAATGTACCCGTCAAATCAGGGTTCATGAAAATCGAACACGTCGCAATCCGGTTTTGGTTTAAAACTCACCTATTATTTGGTCGAATTCGGGTAGTTACCCGTAAAAAATAAGCCATGGATCCTGCCCTTCGAAAGATCCGTCCTACTGTAGTACAAGTTGTGGGGGAGTGGGGTGGGGTGGCACTCACCCTCCAGCACACAGCAGACATGATACTGTACGGGAATTTGGTGAAGGGCCAATCAGCCCTCTCACTCTCCCTCCAGCGCACAAGGCACGGCAATTTGGTGAAGGGCCAATCAGGCCCCTCACACAACCTAGAACACGAAGCAAGCATGAATTTTGGTGAAGGGCGAATTAGCCCCTCACACAGCCTAAAGGGGGGCCGTATACAGCAACCAGTTTCAGACGAGCAGAATCGCTAAGTCTGAAACGTCAGAAGAACAAGTACATAGTTCCTGGAAAATCAGAAGAACTAAAATTCAATTTCTAAGGCATCAGAATTTTTTATCTTAGGACTTCTGAAAAATCAGAAGAATCCGAAAAATCGCGTCTGAAAATAAGACAAACAGACGGATTTTGTCTGCTAAGGAGGACCCTGCCTGCCGCCCGAGCGCCTGCCACGGGCGTGATTCTAGACCACGCCCCATATACCCCCCCCCCCCCCCCCCCCCCCCTCCTTCCCGTGCGTCCCCTCTTCCTTGCCACAGCCGTCGACTGCCTCGTGAGGGCCGTCCCATAGCCGTTATGAGATTGGCCATGCCGCCGAGAGGGTGGGGGCCGCTGCAGCCACCCCTGACGTTGAAGCTGCCGCCGTCGCCGCTGTTGCCGCTGGCCAGTTGCCGCCGCACACCACCGCCGTTGCTCTCGTCACTACTGTGCCTGCCGCCATTGCCATCTCACGGGCCGTGGGTGTTGACCGATTCCGGAGTCATCGCGGCTGCTGCTGGATATGGGGGTGCTAGGTTAGGGGGTGTGGGTGTGTGTGGGTTCTTCTACTACCAAGCCTAGGGGGCGTGTTTAATTATATATATGTTATATAATTATAGGCTTTGTAGGCATTTTTGAAACCTACTGTAGAGGGTACAACACCCCTCCCTCTCTTCTAGTCTCGCCCTTTTTTCTCTCGTCAACTTTCTCCTTCCTAAACCTCACGCCATTCCATGGCTTCCCTCCTACGTAGCTTAGTTTATTCCCTTGTATGCCTTGTTCTAGTTTATTCTCTTGTATGCCTTGTATGACTAGTAGTGCAGCTGCAAAACAAGTTTGTTCATGTTCCCCTGGTATTAGGTTTTGGCTTAAGATTCACTAAGGGTGGACATAGAATATCCCTCATAGATAGGTGGAAACAATTGCTCCAGGAAATGCAATGCTTAAACTGTGGATGAAATATTAAGAATAATCAAAATACATGGAAATTATAGTCTACAGTTCGGCGGCCTTCCGGGCACCTTTATTTGCCTTCGACAGGCTGCCATTCGTTAGGCTCACGGGCGGAAACAGCACCCAAGTTTGCCGTCCCTCCAGCTTAGATCTTTCATGCCTCACTCGGATCTCGCAACACAGCGCAGCCAGTATACCAGACATCGTAGCTCCCAGCAGCATTTCTTAGACTTCTCTTAATCTCCCATCCACTCTGATCCCGAGCAGTCTAGGGACTCCCTCTTAGGCAGTGCTGTAGCTGGAGTATTTGCAGTCCGGCGCGACGATAGACGACGAGACATAGTCCTCCACTTCGCCGTCCAGGAAGCCCTTGCCTTCGGCCCTATCCACATCCACGGGGTGGCGAAGCAGCGCCGCTAAGTGCGAGTACTTAATCGCGCGCTGCAGCTGCTCCGGGGTATTCCTGAAAGTCTGCCCCAGCACGCCGTGCACTGCTGACGTCATCTTGACGTCGGACAGCTCGACATTGAAGTGAGCTTCCGCCTCGGTTGGAGTTTGCAGCAGCGGGTGCGCCACGCGCACGCGCACGTCGATTTCCCCCAGCCCCACCACGCGCACCTGAAACTGATCCACGTCGAAGGGCCCTTCCTTCTCCTCCGCGATTTTGGTTAGCACAAACCCGCTTTCCGTCGCGATCGATTCGCCGACGCTCGGCGGGCTCGTCGTCTTGCCGTCGATCTCGAGAAGCGAGAGGAAGCCGTTGTCTCCGCGCTCCTGCTGCTTGCCCTTGCGCGCAACCATGCGCAGCGTGTGGTTCGCGCCGTCGGGCGTCATCCACACCACGCCGACCTCCTTAATCCACGTGTGAAGCTCCGTGCTCGTTTCCTTGTTAGTCGATGCCGCCGACGCGGGAAGAGCGGGCGGGGCGCCCTGGTAACCGTTCAGATGCATATTCACGTGGAATCGACGGTCGGAGAAGAGGCAGAAAGACCGGTCGAGACGCCCGGTGAAATCGTAGTGCGTGCCGTGCGCGCCGGTCAGATGCGGGTCGTTTTCGACGAGCGCAGTGCCGTTGCAGAGCCCGCCGACGAAGCTGAGCGGGTAGTTAACCGCGTTCGCCGTCTGCGTCGCAGCGTCGCCCGCATTGGGGGTCTTGAAGGGGCCCGACGTTCCCGAGCCGCCGACCTTCTCCAGAAGATAACATTGAATGCGGTCGATAAAGCCCGTCACCTTGGCGTTTTCGCCAGCGAGACGCGCGCTGGAGAGAGGAAGAAAAACAGAAATAGAAGAAAGCACAACGGAATTGAGTTATTTCTGTCTAAAAACATCCAGCGGGAAAACCATTCCGTTCCATAGACGTGAAACATAAGTACTCCCCCCCCCTAGGTTCGATAGAAACAATCATGAGTGAAATTACAGGATTTCAAGGAAGAGGCGGCGCTTACTTCTTGAACCAGTGCCACTGGTAGCAGTACGTGGAACGCGCGCAGGCGCGGCAGCACTCCTGCAGCGTGTCGCCATACACGCCCTTCACCACGTCGAAAATCGTCCCAACCTCCGTGTACCGCTCGAAGTTCACGGGGCCAGACCCGCGCTGGTGCTCAATGTATTGCCCGCCCTGGCTGTTGAACAGCCCCTGGTAGTTCCCGATGTACTTATAATTGGTGTACGTGGACTGGGAGATGGTGGCTGTAGCGAGGTTGTCTATGTAAGGGCAGACGTAACGGGTGTGGCATCCACCGGCGGGCATATTCGTTGCCGTGGCGGTGCGCAGTAGAGAAACGAGCGTGAGGAGAAGGGCGAGGATGCAAGGGAAAGCCATACTTGCCGCTCGATACAAAAGAAGCTTGTTGCTGTGAGAAGTGGAAGAGGGAAGAGGTGAGCTGGAACTGCGGAACAGGGTGAGAACTGTGGGATGGTTGAAGACTTTGTTGCGAGGCTCTTTATTTTACGTACTCGTGGACATGGCTGACTCTGGATTAGGCGGCACCAAAGCTGCTCTTCGCATAATCTCAAGCCTTTCCCCAGGTGGTGGCCAAATGAGGCCACTGGCGAATCGCAGATGTCAACCACATCACAAACCCGGTGCTTCAGTGTGTACCGTTCTATACCGTACCGTAACTCTGCAATACCCTGTGTTCCTCATACGCGGATACGCAGGATCGAGTCGCGAATTGGGTCTGTAAGGAGTGACGCTACGTGAGTGGTCGATTTTGCCATGCCACACGCGAAGCGCCCACTGGTTCCCTCAACCTGTTTGCTCAATCCCGAGTCACGCGATTGGGGAAGTGTGGTGGATGAGTGGATTCGCCAGATGGCATTTTCCAGCTTCCATCCTCCAGCTTGCTAACTGGTTCGTTCGAACAGTCCAGATCGCTGAGTACAGCGTATGCAGTGTATGAAATTGTAGCTAAATCCGTGTCTTCACTTTCAGCAGAATGACACAACCTAGGGATACTAATAGCGTGACAGCGTGCAATTAGTACCATGGAATTCTAAGAGAAAGGCACACAAAAAAAAACAGCTAACTACGTTGTCTTATGGATATGACACAATCGTATGTAACTTCTCCCCTGTTTTCGGCAAGGTTGAGGCGTCCAACTTTCATCCCCCATACCTTCCCCCCGTCGCCCACAAGCCCATTTCACTAGCCCAGGAAGGAAGCTTGGAAACTAATAAGGGTGAGAGGAGTTAGACCTACCTCCCCACTGCTCACTCCATCTATCGACAACCCCTACCTCCCCCCCGTCGCCCACATGCCCATTTCACTAACCCAGGAAGGAGACTTGGGAACCTTGAGGGGTGAGAAGGGGATAGATTCTGCCTCCACATCTGCATCTTCCTCCCCCTCCATTCCTCCCATTCCTTGCACTCCTCTCATTCCCAGTAACCCCATCACATTTGCGACCTCTCTATCCATGAAATCTCTACTTTCACTCATGCTAACGGGAATCACTCCCCTCTCGTTATAGTCACTCCTCCCATCCGTTTTGCTCCTGCGCATCGGCACAACACTGATGCTGTCACAATCATTACTGTCACCATCACCGTGAGCGAAACCACCACTACTACCAGCAGCAGCAGCAGCAGCAGCAGTGGCAGCAGCGACAGCAGCGGCGGCCTCGATCCTCCCTTCCCCGTCCCTGCTCCTCCTACCCGAGCCTGCCCAGCTGGTTCGGACCCAGCTGCTCACCGAGCCTGACAGGCGGCTCCCGGACGTACCGGACTGGGTTCGGGAGAACATGCCAGCCCACGTGGCCGAGAGGGAGGGGGAGGAAGAGCACGGGGGAGAGGAACCAGACACCTCAGGAGCGAAGTCGAAGAGTGAGTCCACCACACGGGGTAAAGGAGAGGGAAGCGGAGACTTTCCATCCCCACTCTTGAGCCGCCTCAGGTGTTTTTTCAGGGAGAAACGGCCGCTTCTGCTGTGGTTGCTGTTGCCACCCTCTGCATCAGACTCCGCTTGGGACTTTACCCGCTGCAACAAGCCACCCCCGCCACCGCCGCTGCTACTCTCAGCTCCGGACTCGGTGAACAGCCTGCTCGGGCCGTCCCGGCTCACATCCTGGTTGACCGACGGATCTCGGCTCAACGTGCCATTCTGTTTGATAGAACCATCTCGGCTCATGGAACCATACTGTTGTTTCAGAGAGCTTTCCCGGCTCGTGGCTGCATTGTGCTTGAGTGACCCATCGCAGCTCATTGTGCCACCACCACCGCCATCCAGACCCCACATATTCCCTCCTCTCCCATACGAGCCGTCTCTCGGTAATGCTGTTTCGAACAGGCGCAATGAGAATCCCCCCCCCAGCCACCCGTCTTGGCTCCCTCTTGGGATCGTTCTCTCTACAGCATCAGCCTCGGCTAGTTTGTCCCGGCCTGCGCTTGAGCTTCGGCCAAACAGCCTGTCTCTAAAGCCTCGCCGCTTGGTTCGGGGATCACCGCCCTCAGGTTCGGTCTCAGCCTCGGGCTCCTCCCAAACCTGAGGGTCGGGGGAGAGTGGCTGCGCCATGTCAAAGTGGTAAGCAGTTCGGGTAACATGCTCGAAATCGGTGTCAGGTTCGGGGAAGGAATGGGGGAGTAGTGGTGAAAAGGGGCGGATGTGGGTGTATCGAGGGGTGGAAGACTGGGAGGGCAATTGAGTGGGCTGGGTTCGGCTGCGACTCAAAGGGGGATATGCCATTTCTTCCTCCGATGAATTTGCTTTGCTCCCCTCTAATCCCCCTGACCCTTCCTCCTCTTCCGCTACCACTGCTTTTACTGACACTGCTTCGCACACCGCTCCTGCACTCGGTTTCAATCTACCCTCTCCCACGCTCCTACTCCTCCTCTCCACCCCCCTCCTTCGCTCTCCCCCCAACTCCCTCCCTGCTCCTCCCTCCCTTAACTCCCCATCTCTCGCCTCCTTCCCCCCACTCTCGCTACCCCTTGCGCTTGTGTCAACCTCTCCCCCCCTCTTACTCTCTGTAGCTCGCCTGGCCTCGGCTCTCTCTCGCGCGCGTCTCTTCCTCATGGCCCGAATTTCCTGCTCCATTTCCTTTAGTGCCGCCCTCTCCCCTCCCTCTTGCTCCTCTTCCCCTCCCTCTTGCCGCTTGTTACTCTTCCCGGGCTCCCCCCTTTCCGGCTGCACTCCCTGCCTCTGCACCTCCTCAAGCCCCTGCCCACTTCCCCTCCCCTCTTCTCCCCCCGTTCCTTTCATCCTCTCTCTCGTCTCCACCTCCTCTCTCACTCCCAATTTGCCCGATTGACCCATCCCCTTTCGCCTCTCTTTCCCCCCATCCTCTTTCCTCTCTGACTTGGGCTGCATCGGCTCAAGCGCCCCTTTTGCCCACTCCCTTTCCATTAAACTTGAGCCTCTAGGGGTGCGCGGCACGCCAGAGGCTGCCTTCCTAAGAACTCTAGGGGGGGCTTGAAGCGCCTCAACAGCCCATTCTCTCTCCATAATGCTTGAGCCCCTAGGGGTGCGTGGTTGGGCAGAGACAGTCCTCTGAAGCTGACGCTGCTGCATTTTCTGCTGCCTTTTTTCGGAAAAGGAATCAGCAGCCTGAATGCACAAGCCCTCCTGATGCTGCGGTGCCTCCTCATACTTCTCACCTCCTCCTCCCCTTTCTCTATCAGGAGGCGTTGCGGCTTCAGCTGTTTTGCTTTCGCTCCCAGCATCTGCAGCCGATGCTGCTATTTCCCCTCCGGCACTCAACGCTGTAGCAGCAGCCGAAGCTGCTTCTCGTGCCGCAGCCCTGGCTGCTGCTCGTTCTCTCAGACTCATGGATCGCTGCAGTAACAACCGCACCCGAGCATGCTGTTGCCCCTCCTCCTGCTCCTGCTTTCCCCCCTGCCCCGGCTGCTGCCCCTGCTGCCATGAAAGGTGTTGCTCCGTCTCTTGCCCTTGTTGGTACTGCCATTGCTCCTCTTGTTCCTGCTGCTTTGCCTGCTCCTGCCTCTGTTGCTGATGCTGCTTCTGCTGCTGCCGCTGCTGCAGAGACCAAGCCTCCATGCGGCAACTCAGGTTCCCACCCATCGAGACCGCATGCCTCAACTCAAAACGCTCCACCTCCTCTCCTTCTCCCAGAGCCCTCACCTGCCGCTTCCCTCTACCCTGCTGCACCTTATTCTCTGAACCTGACCGACGCAGCCGCTGGCCCAACTCAGAACCCGCCCGCAATGCTGATGTGGCGTCACACACATGTAACGCTGATGTGGCATCACCAACATGTACTGCTGACGTGGCGTCACTAGCACTCAGATCCTCAAACACGCTGCGTGCGGGCTTAAGCGCACCACTGCCTTTTCTCAGCCCTCTGGGTGTGGGGGCAGTTGATACAGACCCGACGTTCTGACATCTGGCTGTGGACCCTTTGGGGGTGGGAGGTGTGAGGGTCTGAGTCGACTCAAAAGCTGAAGCCGCACGGCTGCTTCTTCTAGAGCCTCTGGGAGTGGGAGGTGTGAGGTTAGAACCTTTTGCTCTAGAACCCCGAGGTGTGGGAGCACTGGACTGAAACAGCCCCCCTCCTTCATGCCCTATCAGGCCCTCCTGATCCCCAAACACATCCCACGCGCTCAGCCTCGGCTTCCTCCCCCTCTCCCTCACGCTGCCCCCTCGGCTCGAGCCAGTCCCCACACTGGTGGTGGTGGCGTGCTGCTGAGAGGAGTACTCAATGGTAACAAGGCGTTCGGTGGAGGAGGTTCGGGCTCGGCGCATGCAGTACCGTCCCCCGCTTCTCGCGCTGGTGCTATCCACCGGGCTTTGGTCAGTCTGCGCTTGCTTCTGCTGCTGCCCCTGCTGCTGCTGCTGCCGCCGCCTTGGTGCCTCCCCTTGCTCGATCCTTCCTCCCATAGTTTCCGCTCGCCTCATCTCCCCTCCCTGCTCCTCTCCCTTCCCAGCCACCTCAGACGCCACGGGTCCTTCAGCAGGGGGGGAAGCGTGAGAGGTGAGCCGCTCAACAGACGAGGTTCGGGATCGGCGCATGTGGTAGCTCCTCCCACTTCTTCTTACTGCCGCCCCACCTGCACCTGCGGGGTTTTCTAACCCGCTTTGCTCCTCTCCCTTCCCAACCACCTCATAAGCCACGGGTCCTTCGGTAGGAGAGGTGTGAGAGGCGAGCCGCTCAACAGACGAGGTTCGGGATCGGCGCATGTGATAGCTCCTGCAACTGCCCCTAACTGCAACATCTGCAGCACCCGCAGCACCTGCCTCAATGTCTTTCAAGCGTTGAGCGGTCTGCACTTGCACCTGCTGCCCCTGCTGCTGCCCCTGCTGCTGCCGCTGCTGCTGCTGCTGCTGCTGCTGCCCCTGTTGCCAATGCAACCCCTGCTGCTGCTGCTGCCCCTGCTGCTGCTGTTGTCGTCGTGCCTCCCCTTGCTCGACCCGCCCTCGCATCGTTTCTACTCGCCTCATCTCCAACCCATGCCCTTCGCCCACTCCGTCCCCCACAAGCACCCTCAGCATCTCATTCAGCTCAGAGCCACTCCTGACCCTCCCTCTCATTCCCCCGAGCCCCCCCATCCCCCCATTCCTCCCATCCGATCCCCCCCTTTCACCATCACCTCTCTGTGCCCCGTGTCAGCCCCTCCTCCCCACCTCTCTCCTCGTCTCATCACCACTACTCTCTCCCCACCCAACCCCTCCACACCCCCTTCGACCGTTTCACTCAGCTCAGACCCACTCCCCCCCCTCACTCTCACACCCCTCACACAGGCCGTTCCTTCGTCCGTCTCTCCATGCCTCATCCCCACACCCTCTCTACGACCTATCCCCTCGCCCTGCTGCTTCCTCACTCCATCCGTCACCTGCCCCTCGCCCAATTGATCAAATGTATTCCTCTCACCCATTCTAGCTAGCTCAAATACTATTTCTCCTTGCTTTATCACCGCTCCGTGCTCCTCACTCACTCCAGGCATCCCCCGCACCTCGCCCATTTTATCCAGCTCAAACCCACTTCTCAACCTCGCTCTCATTCCTCCCATCCCCCTCTCTCCTCTCATCCCACTCTTGCCCCTCAGCGTCTCAGCTCGCCTCATTTCCACACTCTCTCCTGTGCTTATCTCCCCACACTCCTCTGCTCGCATCCCCCCACTCTTCCCTCCTGTCATCCCGGCATGATTTGACGAATCACCTATGCTAGGTTTGTGCCTCCCTCTAAGCGTCTCCACTCGTCTCATCCCCACTCCCTGCTGCTCTGAAGGATCCACTGTAGCATCCCCTTGGGAGGGTAGGGGTCTCCCCCTAAGCGTCTCGGCGCGTCTCATCCCCACTCCCTGCTGCTCCAACGGATCCACTATAGCATCCCCTTGGGAGGGTAGGGGCCTCCCCCTAAGCGTCTCGGCGCGACTCATCTCCACTCCCTGCTGCCCCGAAGGATCCACTGTAGACTTCCCAAGGGTGGCTCGGGGCCTCCCTCTAAGTGTTTCCACTCGTCTCATCCCCAACCCCTGCTGCTGCTCCTGTACTGAAGGATCCGCTACACTGGATTTGGCCCTTCCTCCTCTAAGTGTTTCCGCTTGTCTCATCCCCGACCCCTGCTGCTCCTCCTGAGCCGTAAGCTCTACTGCACTGGATTTGGGCCTTCCTCTAAGCGTTTCCGCTCGTCTCATTCCCAAAACCGGCTCTTGCGTTGCAAGGACATCCGCACCCGAAGGAGACACACTAGAGCAACGCCTCCCTCTGCTCGTTCCCTCCTGTTGCTTAGCAAAGCACCGCTCCTGTAACCCTGCAGCGCCAACATCAGATTGTGCTCTTCCCCTAAGCGTTTCCGCTCGTCTCATCCCCAAGCCCGAACCTTCTGCAGCAACAGCCACGTCCGCACCGGAAGGAGACGCACCGGATTGAGCATCAGATTGAGCTCTTCCCCTAAGCGTTTCCACGCGCCTCATGCCATACAGCTGCTCCTGAAGTAAAGGCTTTTCCGCATATGATTTAGACCGGCCTCTAAGTGTTTCTGCCCGCCTCATACCAACAGGTTGTTGCTCCTGATGTCCCGGCTGCCCCAGAAAAGCCATAGGATCTGCTTGGTCCGACCTAGACCGTGCTCTCAGCGTCTCTACCCGCCTCATGCCAATGAGCTGCTGCTGCTGCTGCTGCTGCTGCTCGGCATGTGTCGGCTCTTCCACGACACGCACAGACTCTGCTTGGTCCGACCTAGATCGCCCTCTCAGTGTTCCCACCTGCTTCATGACGCCACTCGCCTCGTTCTGAGTCGAGAAATCCGCTGAATCAGACCTCGGCCGTCCCCTAAGCGTCTCCGCTCGTCTCATGGTGATCGGTTCCTGCAGCTGATCCGCATTATTCTTCCTCGGCCGTCCCCTAAGCGTCTCCGCTCGTCTCATGGTGATCGGTTCCTGCAGCTGATCCGCATTATTCTTCCTCGGTCGTCCTCTAAGCGTCTCGGCTCGTCTCATAGAGATAGCCTGGCCCTGCCCTGACGCCAACGCCTCCGCGCGCTGCTGTGACTCAAAGGGTCCGGAACTGCTTTCTTCAACAAGTGACCTGGAGCGTGCTCGCAGCGTCTCTGCACTTTGCGTCAACACAGGAAAGCGACTCTCAGCAGAAGTGGCAGTTGACGCAGCAGCAGCGGCGGCAGCAACAGCAGCAGCATTAGTACTAGCGAAAGGGCCCGAGCAGCAGTCCTCCACTAGTGATCGGGACCGTGCTCTCAGCGTCTCTGCCCGCCGCATGACTATAGGCGAACCACCAGCAGCAGAACCAGCAGCAGCACCACCACCACCACCAAGAGGCTGCTGCGGCAACTCAGTCCAAGCAGAACTGTGGTCGCCCACAAGTGATCTGGAACGGCCTCTCATCGTCTCTGCCCTCCGCATGGCCAGAGGCGCACCAGCAGCAGGCTTGAGAGCAGGAGGTTTGGCAGCAAAGGATGGATGAAACGCCACTCCAGCAGCAGCAGCACTGTTGGCTGTTACCACCCGAGTGGTAACCCCCTCTACACCGTGATAGCTGTTGGATTTACGCTGGACAACTCTTGACTTCCCTGCTTTTGCAACCTGCCCCTGCTGCTGCTGCTGCTGCTGCTGCTGATGGTGCTGGTGCTGCAAATGCCCCTGCATTTCCAGACCCTTTCTCTCCATACTCCCTTCTCTCTCCCCCATTATCACTACCCTCTCGCTCTCCACCTCTCCTCCTCCCGCGCTCTCCTTGATTTTAGAGGCACTCTTGCTTTCCCTAATACCAGTAACAGAGTAGCCAGGGCTCCGATCCAAGCTGCTTTGGTCCGGGGACTCGGGCTCGGCAATCCCCCAACCTGGACCACTGGTCTGGTTTGGAGTTGCAGGTACGGAGGCTCCCGAACGTGGGTTCTTGGATCGGACGAGGGGAGAGCGAGGTGGGAGCCTGTGGGACGCTGGAAGGGGAGAGATGCTGGCTTGAGCAGACAGGGGCCTGCAGGGGATGTTATTATGGGGGGTTTGGTTGCGAAGGAAGGCGGGGGAGGGGGGGAGAGGGAGGGGGGAGGGGGGGGGGAGGAGGGGGGGAGAGGAGAAGAAAGGGGTGCGGAGAGGGAAGAAAGTACAGGGGTTGAGTAGAGGGGAGTGCGAGGTGGGAGCCTGTGGGACGTTGGAAGGGGAGAGATGCTGGCTTGAGAATACAGGGGCCTGCAGGGGGAAGGGGGGGGGGTGGCAGGAGGGGGCGTGGGTGGGGGGGAGAAAGGAAAGGAGAGAGGGGGGAGGAATGCGCGAGGTGGGAGCCTGTGGGACGTTGGAAGGGGGAGATCCAATCTTGAGAAGACAGGAGATGGATGCGCGTGTGGGGTGAGGGGGGGAGAGGACGGGGGAGAGGAGGGGGGAGAGGACGGGGGAGAGGAGGGGGGAGAGGAAGGGGGAGAGGACGGGGGAGAGGAGGAGGGAGAGGAGGAGGGAGAGGAGGGGAGAGAGGAGGGGGAGAGGACGGGGGAGAGGAGGGGGGAGAGGACGGGGGAGAGGAGGGGGGAGAGGAGGAGGGAGAGGAGGAGGGAGAGGAGGAGGGAGAGGAGGGGGGAGAGGAGGGGGAAGAGGAGGGGGGAGAGTGGAGGAGTGGGAGAGGGAAAAAAGGAAGGGGTAAAAGGGAGGGGTGGGCGAGGTGGGAGCCTGTGGGATGGTGGAAGGGGAGAGATGCTGCCCAACCAGCTGCTGCCACGTATTGACACAATGGCACCTATCTGGTGGTCCATTAAATCCCCAGGGACTCACACGGAGTATTCCTCAATATCGCCAGCATCTAGCCCTTGAGACCGCCGCCGCCTCTCGCGCTCCTCATTCCCCCTCCCACTCCCACTACACCCGCCCCCATCCAATCCTCTCCCACCACTTCCCTCCGACTCTCTCCCGCCACTTCCCTCTGAGTCTCTCCCACTCTCCGCAGACCCTTCCTCCACTGCCCTCCCATCAGGCCACTCCCCATGCCATTCCCCATGCCCTTCCGCCACCCCCCTACCCCCCTCCTCTCCCCCGCCCTCCCCCAGAAACTCTGCCACGTGCCACTCCCGCCATGTGGGCGAGCAAAACTCCGCATCCTCCTCCTCCTCCCCTCCTTCCTCCTCCTCTTCCTCCTCTCCCTCGTCCGCTCTTCCCATCACCCGGTCCCCTCTCCAGCCTTCCCACCCATCACCACTCCATCCCCCCTCCTCCTCCCTGCGCCACCCCTCCTCAACCTCTATCCCCTCCTCCCCAAATTCTATCCGATCCCAACTCAAGGTCTGCTGAGTCCCCGCCTCAGAAAACCCCTCCTCCCCAAACTCTATCCGATCCCAGCTCATGCCACAGCTAAGCCCTGGGGAGGGCACTTCTAGAGATAGCACCTGCGCGTTTGGGACCGGCCGGTCAATAGATAACACCTGCACCCTTCTCGTGGATTCCCCCCCAGATAGCACCTGCGCCCTCGGGACAGGCCTGTCAATAGATAACACCTGTGGCGGATGGTGAGTCACCTCGAGAGATAGCACCTGCGCTCCCCCTCCTTCCCCTGGGCTCACCACCCCACCACCTCTCCGTCTAGACCTACCTGCACCAGTTCCACCTCCCCCTGGGCTGACACCTGCACCACTTCCCCCTCCCCTCGGGCTGACATCTGCACCAGTTTCCCCTCCCCCTGGGCTCACCACCCCACCAACTCCCCCTGTCCCCGGACTCGCCCCTCCCCCTCCCCTTCCCCTTGGACTAGACCCCCCGCCTCCCCCTCCCCCTCCCCCTCCCCCTCCCCCTCCCCCCGGACTGACCACAGCAGCCCCTACAGAGGGAGTAGGCGGGCGCCCCCCCCTCCTCCCCGTCCCCCTGCCCCCTTTCCGCCCGGGGGTGGCCACAGCAGCAGCAGTGCCTGGGGCTCTGGGGGTGGTAACCGCCGTGGGGGTTAGGGGCACCATGCGATTGCGCATGGTGTGAGATTTGCGCGTGAAAAACGCCGATGCGACTATCCCTGCTGCTACCGCGTCTGATGGTGACAGGTCAGCTCCTGTTGCTGCAGCCACGTCAGCAGCCACGTCAGCATCTGAGGGATTTTGAGATTTTGAGATTCTGTGCCGATTCCTCTCTCTTCCTCTCTCTCTTGTTCCCCCCCCCTGACTGTTGCAATCGCCGCCAAAAGACTCGGTTCGGAAGACGGTGCTGCCGAACGTGCTGCCGAAGCTGTCGGGTGGGCTCGGGAAGGAAACAACGACTCGTCCGGACAAGGTTTGGGACTTCCGAGCCTGGAACGCTGCCTTGACCGCCGCCATTCCCGCCCCCGCCTCCCCCTCTGCTTCCCCCTCCGCTTCCCCCTCCGCTTCCCCCTCCGCTTCCCCCTCTGCTTCCGCCTCTAGGTCAGCGCTAGCCCTCCCCGAGGCACTACTGGCTGTAGCACCGCCGCTCCCCTCTCCCTCCCACCCCCGCAGCTCCATCGACGCGCTGCTGGCTGTAGCCGCGCGCACGAACCGCCGCCTGTGGCCCCCTGACCGGCTGTAGCGCGGCGCGTTGGGACTCCTTGCTACAACCGTCGCGGCCGCGCTGCTGCTAGAACTCCTCGCTTCAGCCGCCGCGGTTGTAGCAGCGTCACCTGAGACAGAGGCGGCCGCGCTAAAGCTCCTGGCTACAGCCGCCGCGGCTGTAGCTGCGGCGCCTGTGGGGGAGACAGAAGCAACAGCGGCGCCGGCGCGCGCTCTGGCAGCGACCCCGTTTGTGGCAGCCGCGTTTGTGGCAGATCCGTTTGTCGTAGTAATCTTGGGCGCCTGACTAACGGCGGTATCTGTAACGTCACAGTCAGTTGTCGACCCCGCGCTAGCAACAGAAGCACCACTAACGCAGACGTCACTAACGGAGACGCCACTAACGGAGACAGTAGGTGCAGACTGACGCGCCTGTTGTGATAGCCTCGTTGTCCCAGCGCCAATCACATTCTCCAGCAACGGATCGCCGCCGTCCCTTTCTGTCCCCGCTCCATCGCCACCGTCCGCTTCATCCACCCAATTAGCTAGTTTTCCCGCTTCCGCGGCCTCCCACACGTTTTTAATCGGCGGCTCGGGGGCATCTTCAGAACCCGCGTTGGCGCTCGCTTTCTGTTGCGCTTGCTGCTTCCGCCGAAATACCTGCCCCTTCCGCGCATCCCCTTTCCGCACCCCCTGCGCCGATCCTTGCGCTCCTCCGCGTACCTTCCCGTGTCCCGCCTTCACTTGACCGTTCCGCGGCACCTCCGCCTGTTGCGCCTGCGTTTGCGCGTCCCCCTGCTGCGCCTGCGCGCCTTGCCAGAGCGAGAGTTGGCGCACCCACTCCAGGTGGTGCGGGGACTTGGGGCGCAGCGGCGGAGGACCCTCGCGGAGCTTCTGCTCCACCGGCGGCGACTTGCGCTGCTCCGCGGGGGTGTTGCGCGGCTGGCCCGGGGGGGACTTGCGCGAGAGGAACGAGGGGAGCGAAGTCTTCCGCTCGAGGAGGGAGAGCGGGCGGGCTGGCGCGGGGCCGACGGAAGAACACGGGGGGATCGCGGGGGGGTGGGCGCATTCCGCGAGAGCTAGCGCGCGCTCCTCCTTGCTGCTGCTGCGGAGCAACGGCAGCTGCGAGATGCGAGGCATGGCTGACGCCTAGCCGGCAACTGACCGGCAGCTAACCAAGGAATTACCGGCGGATGCTAAGAGCGGCCGTCAGCGACAATGTTAGCCGCGGCGACGTTCGCCCGTGGCTTTGCCTGTGATAGTCCCGTCACTTCTCTCCCCGCAACTGTCACGCTGAGTGCCATCGCCGTCGCGAAAAGAGAGAGGGCGACGTTACCAGTTTCGCAAGCAGTCGCTGACAATTGAGTGCCTGGTGTGTTTTTTTTTCTTACACACGCCTCGCAAGGAGGCTCAGGGATGTCGCGGTCCGGAACCACTTACGACCTAAACCGGCGGTTCCTTGCACGTGAAACCGATAGGATTAGGGCCATCAACGCACTTCAGGAATTCGCCTGAACAAAAGGCAAACCGTCGCCTTCCTTTGGTAATTAGCACATTACTGTAGCACCAGAGACGTCGCGGCCATCACACGGATGCAACTGACACTTCTAACTTACGCTCCATACCAGAATATACTACTTCGACAGTCCCTGCTAAGTCCTAGAACTAGCGCACCCTGCCATGATCTCTAAGGACGCGCTACATTGCGTCTGGTTCTCTGATCATTTTCCAACCTTGGCACTGTAGAAAATTGGTAACCCGACAGATACAGTGCCTCGAAATAGTCATGTAGCAGATCGGAGGGGAGGATCATTTTCGAAACAAAACCGGGCATCAATCCCATGTCCAAAACACTAACGATCCTCCTCGACAAAGTGGCAGATCCCCCCACCCCAAATTCCACGAATTCAGAAGGGCTTCGCCAACTCGCCATTGCGAAAAAATGACAAGGCAAATCCTCCTGTCTCGCGCCGCACTGAAGTGTCTGATGGAAATTGTGAAGGTGTAGGGAGGGTTGCTAGGTTTCGACGAACTTTTCTGCGAAAATCCAAGCTGTCCAGCTGCAAATCGATACTCGACATCGAAAGCTGCACATCTGGAACATGCCTATGTCGCGTACAAGATCGATATTGGAGATCAATTTTATTGAGTCAGAATCGAAAGCATACAATCGAGATTTTTGCCACGATCCTCCTTCCTAAACGGACGCAATGTAGCACGCCCTAAACGACAGATGAACATGATCAGTGAGAACAGAAGCCCTCTGATGCCCTCAGGAAGGAAGCAACAGCTAAAAGCGAAGCGAAGAGAGATGTATACAGTACAGTAACAGGAGAACAGAATCGAATGAAAGTTCGTCCTTCCTTTTGGTCCTCCCCCTCCATGCCTGTCATGCGAACGGGCCGCATTACTGGGGGGAATCAAGTTCTTAGTTCGCGTACAACGGTTTTGTTCGGTTCGCTGCGTTTCCAAGAGAGAGGTTGAGTGTACTACCGTATTAAATCGTGAGGAAACCAACTGTACCACGCTCGAAGAACAATTGACGAATGCTGCCTGGGCACACCCCAGAGGGTACACTGTTTCGAGTTGCTGGGGGACAGCGACCCAGAAGGTACTACAGTGTACATTCACCATATGGGTGCGTCGCGATTGCGGTTGGGTGAGATGCAATTTTATCTAGAAGGTTCAAATAACGATTAGAAACGGTTGAGCAGGGTATTGAACGGGAAACGTACGTGCGGGCATACGTGATGCTTGTCCCTGGCAATTTTGTGCGAAGGGCGGGTACAGTTCGTATATCCGTACAGTACTGAGACTCTGGACATAAGGGAGTGGTGCAGCCGTTCCGTGCAAATCAAATGTCCGGACGGAAGTACGAAACAAGGTCAATATACGGGCGTTTCTGAATTCACGACGGGTTGACGAACTTCAAGAATCCAGTATCTTGCAAAGTTCAGACGAAGCAAGGTCAATCATATGGTTCGAGTGGAAAGGTACATCTGAAAACTGTACAGAAAAGTTGCACCTTCACAGTGAAGGTGTCGGGAGAAGAACATACTACGCAGAACATACTAAGCGTGTCGGGCAGTCCAAACATTTCACCTGTACAGTGGTATTGCACTGACACGCACGACATGGATTCTGTACAGCACCACGCTGCAGAACACCAACCACCTTCTGTTTTTTTCTGCTTGCGAATTTACAGGCTGTTGGCGAAGGCTTTTCCGATCGCAGCGAATCAGCAGCTGCCAAACCGTCAACACCACCAAACCCAGTTTCATGGTCTGCTTCCGTGGCAAAGACAACCGCACCCCACACTACACCTCCTCTTGCTTTGGGGAACCCGAATCTGCAGCGCGGCTTGCGACAGCAACGTGAGAGGTCAGAAGGTGGGGTAAAAGTGACCGAAAGGTGAAAGTTAGTAAGGGAGTGTCATCATACCGTGTGGCATTGCCTGTATTTTTCGCCAAGTGGGTGGTAACACCATTTTTGCCAACTCTGGTAACTCGCTGCCATGCGAGTACTTTAGAAGCAAATCATGTTTACCACTCATTGCTCTTTTTTTTTTTACTCGAAACGTTCCATATAGGGCTGATGGTTACAACAGCAGGCTACGCGGCATGAGTGTCCAGCAAGCCAAAGCACAACCACCAACGAACCAACCCAACCAAAATCAACCTAGCCTCTGACCACACTAACCCTGTGGATCACTGCCCGCTCGACAAGTACGAAACTCATCCAGGGTCAACCCCACTGTCCCAAAAGCACAAAGCGTCCTACAAGGACAGCTATAGGGGGACACTTAGGTCCACGATATAGGCATACCAGAGGCACAGACATAGAAGCCACACGTAGAGGCACGGAAGACACAACCATGGAACACGACGCTTTGGAGGCACAGAACGACGGCACGCAGAGAAAAGGATGAACTGAGCGAGCGCAAGAGGGAGTGGGCAGACTTGGGAAATTACGCGGCAGAGAACATCCCAAAATTCCTGAAACCCATTCTGCCCTTTGGAGTGTGGGACGCATGTAAGTAACCTCACCCCAGACTACCCAAAGTTCCACACAAGACCCCTCGGGGTTACCTGCGGGTAGTGGCGACGAGCACGACACTCGCGAAATGTTTGTCAATTGTCGCGTGGGGTCCGACCAGCCAATAGGGCGCAAGCTCAGTTGGACCAAGTCGCTAGCCGAGCCTGAGCCCTCAGACTAGACTTGACCCGAGAAGCGAATTTTGTGTAGAAGCGTGTCATATGATGGACAGAACAAGAAAATGACGTTTGTCGTTTGACGAAACGTATATAACGGGGTTTGAAAGTGATGGGTGAGCCTCGACTGGTTGACCAATGAATGCATCGTTGGGTTTATACCCATTGGTCGATTTCTCAACTTATCCAAGTCCGAGCGAACCTCCTGCCTTCGTGTGTACACCCAAAAATTTGTAGGGCATGCTCGGCGTCTTGGGATTCGAGTACAGAATACTCGGTACCATCAGCTCTCGACACATGTGATGTGAAACAGCTTCCTTTAGTATCTCTTTTGGTACGAAGTTTTGCCTCCATTTGGCTCACTGGATACGACCCAGATAACAACACCTAACAGTGACAACGAATCCCAATCACACATATACTATAGACTCAACGCAAAACCCGTCAACTTTCACAGTTTGTCCCTCATGCTTGTCGACGTTTTCCCGCACGAGCATTTTCTTTAGACAGAAATGCTCCTTGCGCTGCGTAGTATGTTCTTCTCAGCTACCTAAACTATTGCAACTCTCTAGTCCTCGGTATCGCCATGTATTTTCCCCCATTCTCTTCCTCGTGTGTGCCTGTTGTTTCTGTTCGGGTTTTCTATTCCTATGAGCATAATCTTTTTCCACCTTCCTCCTATACTTTCCCTCCTTTCCGTTCCCCTAGGCCTTTCGCGCATCTTCTCGCGGTGCACGTTGGGCGCGTAAGCTTCTTGCGATGCACGTTGGGCGGGACGCACGAGCTACTCGCGATGCACGACAAGCGGGATGTGTGAGCTTCTCGCGGTGCTCGCCGCGCGTCTCTGTCAAGCTCAAGTGGCTCCTCGCCGTATTCAGGTATGGTTGTAGCACTTTCTCATTGCCCCCCTTGTGTCCGGATCTTACTCGTCATTCCCCCCCCACCCCCACCCCCCCCGCCCATCCTCCTTGCGGCCTTCTTGCCGCACTCTGTTTCCCCCCAGCTTTGACTGGCACCTTGTTCCATGCTCTTTACCTTATAGCCTTTGTCTCCCCTCCTTTCCTCGCCATCCTCATTGTACCCCCCTCCCTTTCCCCTCTCCCATCCCCCCCCCCCCCCCCATCCCCTCCCTGTATAGCAGGTCTTCGTTCGTTGGTAATTTTGTGCAACTGCCATGGGGTAAGTGGACGTCTGCATGGAATTGCTTTAAAACCCGCGGCCCAAATTGTTCAAACGCACTGCGTATGAAGTTTGACCCTCAGGCTGTACGAAATACGCTGGAAAATCGCGAGGGCGTTTACTCTCGCAAATTCAACGCTTGTCGTAAACTGTCAGATTTACAAACACACAATTTGATGGATAAGATTACCTTTCGACTGACTGGGGGAAGTGCTAGGCTTACACGCCGTCAGATGAAAATCTAGAAAAACAGTACGGTTGAGAAACGCTCGGCCCCTGGTGTTCCAAATTACATTCCGCACTGAACTTGATAGGCACCCCTGAGTGACGAGAGTCTCGTTACCCCCAATACACCCATGAAAATGCAACTTTCAAACGCATTGCGTTTGAAGGTCGCGCCTCGCAATTTGAGCCGCGGGCTTTAAACCCAGACTTACACGGGCCTGTGCAAGGGTGGATGCAGGCCGCTCTTTCACACCTGATATTGTGCTTGACAATGTTCGTGTGTGCAGCGAACGGCTACCAGCCAGAAGGCCATGCAGCAGCGGTGCTTGTGTAGGCTAGGAAAGAGGTGCTGGTGGTATGCGTAGGCAAGCTTAGCTAATACGCCAAGTTGGCGTTAGGAGAGGGAATCTGCTCAAAACTCTAGGTAATTGCAGCTAAATTAACCACCTTGTTTTGCATGCTTTGCATTGTGATAAAACTGATTGTAATGACGATAATCTAAGCTTTTCTAACAATTATATGTGCGTAATAAAGAGTTTTACAACGCCTCGAAACGAAGTTGCCCTCAATGCTACAGTGAAGTCATAAATACAGGCATGCCCGTTAATGTAATGGTTGTGCTACTATCGAGGTAAGTTGTTAAACAGTTGATATGTTGAGTGTAGAAATATTTCGTATCGGGGCGCCAGTGACGAGGATCGAGTGTGCTATTGTTTTGCGCATAAGGGCCATCATGTTCTCGCGCAAGTGTACTCCTTAACCACAAACGCCTTCACAGTTTGACGAGGATAAGAACCCATCAAAAGGTTTACGTCACGTTCCCCCCAACACACCCGAAGGTGACAAGTTGGTGTCGCGAGGGTGACATCACGAGGGAATCCCGAGGGTTACCTCGAAAGGCATTCTGGCCGCTGGTTTTCCCGAGGTAACCCAGTCGGAAGCCCCAGGGTTACCCCGAGGCGCGAAACCCCAAGGTCACTTGTGGTAGTCTTGGGGGTAACATTTTGCCACTCTAATTTTTGGGTTGAATTT